TTTTTTGGTACTGGGGATCGAACCCAGGACGTTGCGCTTGCTAGGCAAGCGCTTTGCCACTGAGCTACATCCCAGCCCTATGAGACTCTAATCTCCAGTGAAGCACCCAAAAACCCCGCAGAGCTGTGGGGGAGGCTCCGGAGTCAGGAGCGCCTAGAAGCATGTGTTACTCAAGCAAGACAATGGAAGGGACTGACAGCAATCTCATTGAGACTGCTGGAGATCTGGGGGTAGGTTGGAAGGTGAGGGCTCCAGAAGGAAGGGGCCCCCTCCCCAGAAGCAGCAGGAGGGTGTGGGGGGCACCTGTAGATGAAGACGCTCCAGCGAGGCGGGCAGGCTGGGCGGCAGGTAGCTGAGCCGGTTGCTGGAGAGGCTGAGGATGGCCATGGCCTCCGAGCCCCGGAAGGCATCGGGCGGCAGGCCGGCGTTGCTCAGCTGGTTATTGTGTAGATACACTGACCTAAGAGGAGCCATGATCAGCCAGCAGTCCCCCACCCGGCCCCCTGCACCCCTAAATCTGTTCCCCAGCCGTGGCTGAGTGCCCCTTAGGGTGCCCCAGAGCCCCAGCCCAGCAAAATGCAACTGAGTCTCCTTTGACTCCCCACCTCCACTACAACAGAGTGGTGTGGTCCCCCCTTCCCCCCAAAGCTGTCGGGCAGCCTGGTGCTACCTGAGGGCCGGCTTCTCCCCAAAAGTGAGCGGGAAAATCTCCACCAGTTGATTGGCAGCCAGGTCTGCGACCCGCAGGGTAGGGGGCAAGAACTGGGGAGCCACTGAGAGCTGCAAGAACCACAACCTCTGAGCCGAGCGCTGTAGCGCCCGCCTGCCGTCCCAGCCCCTCAGGAGGCTGAGATCTGAGGATCCAAGTTCAAAGCCAGCCCGGGCAGGAAAGTCCGTGAGATTCCTATCTCCCATAAACCACTCAAAAAACCAGAAGTGGCGCTGTAGCTCAGGTGGTAGAGCGCTCACCTTGAGCTGAAGAGCTGAGGGACGGCGCCCAGGCCCAGAGTTCAAGCCCCAAGGCCAACAAAAAGCACCACAGCCCTGCTGGTCCTGTGACCCCCTCCCCACTGCCCCGCGCACACACACCTGTACCCCAACCCAGCTATGCTGTTTGTCGCTGGGTGCTGCCAGCACCCTCTCTGGGCTGTTGCTCACCTTGTTGTGGGCCACATAGATGTGTTGGAGTTGGGTGAGTGATTCGAAGGCCTCATCAGGCAGGCCTGGCGGGGAGGGAAGGTGTGACAGAGGGGATGATGAGGGGACCCCCAAATTTGGGGGATTATGAGTCTGTGCTCTCAGCCACTGAGGACTGTCAGCCAGGCTTTGAGGTCTGCCTCCCTTCCCCCCCAAAACCACAGCTCCCCCCCCAAGCCAGAGTTTCCATTGCACTCAGCAAGGGCAGCTGTGGAACTGGCACCGAGCTGCCCGCAGGCCCGGGGGGCGGGGAGGACGTAGGGGTGGGGAGGACAGGGATGGGGTGCAGCCCCCCCGCCTCACCCTCGGAGTTGAGGAGGTTGCCGTGCAGGTCCAGCGTGTGCAGGCGGCCCAGGCGGGACAGGGCGTTGTAAGGCAGCTGCTGGAGCTGGTTGTTCTGGGGGGCAGGGTGGAGGAGGGGGGGCCTTCACCTCTCACCACCCCTCCCAGTGACCCGGGGCCTCCAGGACCGTTTCCCCAGAACCCCATTCCACATCCGGTTACCCGAAACGCAAACCACGAAAAGCATGGAGCGTGAGCGCCCGGCCCGGGGGGCCTTCGCAGGCACTGCCAGCCGGGGCCCGGGGCCACAGCACTCCGACTGCAGGTCCCCGCCCCCCCATACCTCACCTCCCACCATCAGCTGCCAAAGGTCCCTGCACCCCACAGCACCCCAACCATGACCCCCGAACAACCCTTTCGCCATCACTGGTTCCAATCCCAGCATCTCGGGCTATCCACCAATTGTGTGTGTGTGTGTGTGTGTGTGTGTGTGTGCCTGTCTGTCTGTCTGTCTTGTCTGTTTTGGGGCTTGAACTCAGGGCCTGGGTGGTGCTCAAGGCTGGTGCTCTACCACTGGAGCCACAGAGCCACTTCCATATTTTTGTTGCTTCATTAAAGAGGAAAAACTCATGGACTTTCCTGCCCTGGCTGGCTTCGAACCACATTCCTTCTCTCCCCACCTCCTGAGTGGCTGGAATTACAGGCGTCAGCCACGAACCCGTGCCTGCCCACCAACTTGTATGAGAGACAGAGACCCCCCACCTCCCCCAGATGGCCCCACCCATGTCTGCCCGCACCCCCAGGGCCCCACCCCCTGGCCCCAGGTCCCACCTGCAGGTTGAGGTACCTAGCAGCCCTGGTGATGTTGTCTGGGAACAGCCGGAGGTCCAGGCCGGCGCAGTCCACCGTGTCCGCCCGGGGACAGGAGCAGCGCCAGGGACAGGTCCGGGGTGGGGGCTGCGTGCTCTCCCCGGGGTGGGGGAAGGGGGGGTCTTCCAAGCCAGGGGCAGGTGGGGGGCACAGCAGCAGCAGCAGCACACTTAACTGCTGAGGGTGGAGGGAGGGGTCAGCGCCCCCCACACCCCCTCTCATCGGGCCTGGGTTGTCATGGCAACCAGAACATTTTCCCCCCCCCTTCTCCCCGGAGGGGCCGGAGGGGAGGGCACAGCCGGCCTGGCTGACAATAGCCAGTGGACAGAGTTGGGGAGCAGGCAAACCCCCACCCTCACACCCTCCCCCCGCCTCACCTTACCATGATCATCCTCCAGCTCTGCCTTCTCCCCCAAAAATGCCAACCAGGGCTCAGCGCCAGCCAGTCACCTCCTGGAGCCTCCACTGTGGCCGCCACCTCCCTCCATCTCTCAGCACACCCCCCCCAGCAGGATCTGGCCCAGCCCCTGCCCCCTCCCCCCAGGAGGGAGGGCAGGCGGCCGGATGGAGCGGGGAGGACAGACCAGCCCATCTCCCCGGGTCCCCTCGTCCCCGCCCGTGCCGACCACTGTGCTTTCGTAACTCCGGGCCAGCTTGGCCACAAGACCAGGAATGTCTGAAGAAACGCTGACATTCGCCCCGTCTGGAATCCGGGTGGGGAGGGAGGAGGGCTTTGCCTCTGAGGGAGTCCCCAAGGAGCTGAGGCCAGCAGCCAGAGGCCTGGACTCCAGCCTGGCCAGCCTGGGGACCCCAGACCGGCATCCGCCCCCCCCACCAGCTGGCCTTCCTGACCCTCAAACACCACCTCTCTGGGCCTCATTTGTCCCTTTGCGAGGTGGGGACATGGCCGCGTCCTGTCTCACCAAAGGTCTCTGCCCAAAGGTTCGAAGTCCCCACCAAGCACCCTTCCAGGGACATGACTTTCTCTGCCTGAACTTTCTCCTGCCTGAACCCCAGCTTTTCTGAGGGTCAAATGTGCATGACAGAAAGACAGTCTTCTAAGGACTGTCACAAAGTAAAACAGGGAGGACTAGAAAGTTCTAAGATGCACGGAATACACAGAGAGCTCAAGAGTGGCCAAGGTTGGGGGAGGGGGTTGGGGGGGAGGCGTCTGGGTGGGAGGAGGGGGTCTCCCAGAGCAGAATCTGAGATGAAGTGTTTCCATCTCTGTAAAGACAGAAATGGTTTGGGGGGGGGTCAGGATGGCCATGGGGGTAAGGGAGGGAAGGAGGGAGGGAAAGATCAATAAACGAAGTTTAATAGCAAGGATCTTTCAGGTCTTAGCCCTCAAAATCACATGACCTTCCAGGCTGGGTGGCTCACATAGAGGCCTGACCTACTCAGGAGGCTGAGATCTGAGGATCACAGTTTGAGGCCAGCTTGGGCAGGAATATCCATGAGACTTTTCTGTGAGGCTGTGGCACAAGTGGTAGAGGATCAGGCTTCAGTGAGTCAATCTCAGGGACAGAGCCCAGGCCCTGAGTTCAAGCCCCAGGACACACCAGCCCACGCAAAGAAAAAAGAAAAAAGAAACTTTCTTCTGGGCTGGGAAAGGAACGGCGGAGGAGGGGGGCGGGGCTAAGTGCAGGGAGACCAGGCCAGTGGTTTATTCACAGAGTCTGTAATTACCTTCCTAACCAATCACCACTTTCCATCCTTCTGGTCTCAGGGATTGGTTCTAGATGGACATGTGCCCACCCCTAGACCAATAAGATTCAAGCTTGGGGTTCTACTGATGTAAGCATTGCAAAACAGGTTGCTGCCTGAAAAATCTTAGCAACACAGGGAAAGGGCTGCTGGAAGAGTCAAGAGGTACAGGGAGGCCAGGCAGAGTAGCACAGGCCTGTAATCCCAGCACTCTGAAGGCTGAGGTTGTAGAATAGGACAGTTCCCGGCCAGCCTGAGCTACAGAAGACCCTCAGACAAACACTGAAACAAATTGCCAGTGATCATGGTGTTTCTGATGCCTGTAACCCCAGCTACTCACGAGTCTGCCATCAACGGGAGGAAAGTTCAAGGCCAATGTGAGCAAAGATTTTTCAAGACCTCATCCCAACCAACAAAATCTTGACATGGTCAAGCACTGGGGATTTACGTCTGTAATCCTAGCTACTCAGGAGACAGATCTGAGGATCTCAGTTCAAAGCCATTCTGGGCAGGAAAGTCCATGAGACTCTTTTCTCCAACAAACCACCAAAAAAGCCTGAAGTGGAGCTGCAGCTCAAGTGACAGAGTACCTGCCTTGAGCAGAAACATCTCAGGGACAGTGCCCAGACCCTAACTTCAAGACCCAAGACAGGAACAACAGCAACAAATCTGGATGTGGTGGTATAAGCTGAAGCATAAACAGGTGAATTTGAGTCTAGCTGGTTCAGGGAGAAAAATGGAGACTGTATGTGAAAAATAACCCTAAAGAAATCAAGACTGGGATTGTGGTTCCTTTTTTGGGAGGGATGTGATTGTGCAGTGGGTGTGGCTTAGTGGGGGGCGTGGCTTCATTGGGGTGTGGCTCACCTGGTAGCTCACCTGCCTAGCAAGCAGAAAGCTGAGTTTAATCCTCAGTACCAATGAAAATATAAGAGCCCGAGACAGAGAGTGGTTTTAACTCAATAACAGGTAATAATTCTAAGACATTCTTGGGGACCTCCCCATCTTTTCTTTGAGACAGGCTGAGGCCCAGCACCTCAGGAAGCTTTATCTGCCTGAGAAGCCTCCAGCCCTGTGCTCCACCCATGCTCTCCACTCAAGCCTGTGCATTGTTAATTGTTTAGCTGGCTGTACCTATGGCTTCCTGTAATAAAGCTCAATTCCCAGACTCCCTTGCAGCTAAGCATGGTTATACAACCAAGGTCTACCTCTATACAACTCTCTCCGCTTCTCTCCTTTTTTTTCTAATGTTTTCTCTTTCCTTCCTTCCTTCCTCCCTCCTTCCTTCCTTTCCATATGTCTGTGTTATTTATTTATTTGCCAATCCTGGGGCTTGAACTCAGGGCCTGGGCACTGTCCCTGAGCTACTTTTTCTTTTTCTTTTGTTGTTGATTGTGGGGCTTGAACTCTGGACCTGAGTGCTGTCCCTAAGCTCTTCAGCTCAAGGCTGGTGCTCTACCACTTGAGCCACAGTGCCATTTCCAGTTTCCTGGTCGTTAGTTGAAGATAAGAGTCTCATGGACTTTCCTGCCCCGGCAGGCTTTGAAATGTGATTCTTGGATTCTCAGATCCTCAGATTCTTAGCCTCCTGAGTAGCTAGGATTACAGGCTTGAGCCAGCAGTCCCTGGCCTCCCTGAGCTATTTTTGCTCAAGGCTAGCACTCTACCACTTGAGCCACAGTACCACTGCACTCTTCTTCTTCTTCTTCTTTTTGGGTCCAGTCATGGGGCCTGAACTCTGGGCCTGGGCGCTGTCCCTTAGCTCTTCAGCTCAAGGCTAGCACTCTACCACTTGAGCCACAGTGCCACTTCCGGCTTTTTTTC